CATAATTTTAGCATTTTTTATGCTTAATTTAATTTATGAACTCGTGGGGTTGCGTGCGAGGGTTAGGATTACGATTTGTCACCTCGAGCTTGTCTTTCAGGGAGTAAAAATGTGATTTTTTTCTAGATCTGACCTCTTGATTTTCTTTATAGGTCACTATGTCGCGAGTTTCGAGAGGTCGTTCCCCTGCGGCATCGGCTTATGGCGTGCTTCCCTCATATGCTGGTGATCTACTTTTTTAGCATATTCGCAAATTTACAAATTAGTCCTCTTTTTTCTGGATATTTGCAAATTGGTCCCTTTTATCCCCTGTTGTTCTCCTTGGTGAGGCAACCGGGAAAAGCCTTGATTCTCCTTGGTGAGGATCGACGCTTTAATGGAAATTTTGCAAATTAACCCTCTTTCTTCTGAACATTTGCAAATTAGTCCTTTTTTAGCCCCACGTTGTTCTCCTTGGTGAGGCAATCGGGAAGAGCCTTGATTCTCCTTGGTGAGGATCGACGCTTTAAAGATGGGTTTTGCTTGGTCAAAACCACATCTCATAATAAAGGGGGCGTTTTGACGCTGCATCGTGCCTTATAAGGCAGGGATATATTGTCGATATACCCTATCTTATAAATGCACAATGTGGCCAAATCGTCTCGCCCTTTATAAGGTAATGACTCTATCTTACCAATTTGTAAGATGAGTTCAATTTCCTTTTATATCTGAAACTAACAAACACTTAATTGCTTGTTTTCAGTGGAGTATCCTTCCGGAGCCTTTTCATCGCATGCGGTGAATGGACGTCGTGACGAATACTATTTGACGTCTGATGACTTCTCACCCATTCCGCTTACTTCTCAGTTTGTTACGGGCACGTCGACAGAGGTTGCCCAGGTGGTGACGGAAGGTGGACATCAAGCCCTTCGCCAGCTGATTACAGATGCGCCCCTCGTTAAGGATGCTAGTTCTGTTCAGTCTCTCAGGAAGACTGACTTCTTGTTTGGTGACTCCGTCAGAGATCCTGATGCGGCGTTCATTGAAGCTGAGCAGTGGCTTTATAAGACTGGCAGTCGTTTTATGTATTTACTGAAGATCCCTCGACACCGTTCTTTGACTGAGCTCCGACGTCAGGCTGTGAAGCGGGAGATGTCGTGGCGTTTGACAGAGGAGCATGAGAGCGTCCACTGCGGATATATTACTCATCAGGCAGTTCCTGGTTCGAGCAGGGATCACATTGTTGGACTGCGTCCTGGAGTACTGGGACTAGATACTCCGCCTCGTAACGAGTTCCTCACCTCTGCTTCTACCTTGAGGAATCGTCTTGCTAACTTAGGACGGGAGATGCCCGCACCGCGCCACAGATTCTATGGTTGGGTCCATTCTTTGGACAGGTTTTGGTGGGCTCGTATGACGAAGTACGTCTTGAGCCGATGGAGCGAGGAGTTACATGCTTGCGGTCTTTATGCAGCCTTTCGGGCCACTATGCATGGTTTGCCTACAAGCGCGAGGCATTTCTTTGCCCTATGCGAGCTTTATAATCCAGATTCCAACACTTTTCTGACCAGGCACGGAGAGTTGGGCTTGGCTCTTCATGAGATGCACAAGATTTCTGGCTTGCCCATGGGACAGATGCTATACCAGGAGTACTTTCCTTCCAACCATGAGTTGAGTCAGCTGAAGGATCGCATTCCCGACCTCTACGAGACTTTATGGGACCTCACTTGTCATTATCACATTTCTTTGGCACAGTCTAAGCCCCTAGCGAAGAGAACCAAAGCAAATGTGAGCCTGAAGCAGTTCGCATCATATTTGTTCAGGAATCTGGAGAGCCATTCTGGTGAAGCTATTCGTGAACTGGCACCGCTGACTCCTTCAGAGGTTAATGAGCTGTTGAAGAAGACTGACGCCCGCTCCTATACCAATAGCAGTCCTGAGAGCGGCTTTCCTGCAGGGACCAAGTTCAGATCATTTTTATTCCATGCGACTGCGCCGATTCGTCCGATGACCCTCCTTGCCGGTTATCTCGCCATCTGGTTGAAGAAATGTGTGGTCCCGTATCAGTCTGGTGACGCTCTGCCACTGGAAGTGCTCTATCCTGCAGTTCAGCTTGCCTACAAGAAGGAACTTTCGCTTCTTCCGGTGATGGTGGCTAACATTCATCGAGGGCTTCGACAGATTTCTGGTGCTTTTACACGGAGAGATATTGACAAACCGACTCAGATTCCTACCATTAAGGTGGAGCTTCCGTATATTTATTTGATGGCTTGGTTCGTCCTTCATCGTTCTGATATGATGTCCGTACCGAATGCCATAGACCAGTCTGTTCCTTTTCTACAGCTGCTTGAGAATGGCGAGTGGGAGGGCCGAGGATTCCCTGATATCAGGAGTCAGCTACGAGTCCACAAATGCTGGGCATTCTCCACTTGCTTTCCACAGTTCTCCAGTCGGTACGGCGAGTGTTTGATTGATGAGGAGAAGCCGAGGGAGTATAGGACTTATTTGGATATGGGCTGCTTTAATTGGCTAGTGAACATTAGGCCGGGTTACCTGACTTTCCGGGTGGGGAATCAGTGTTTTATAGAGCCGTATCTCCCTTGCCGATTCGCCCGCCAGTTCGGTTATGATCAGCTTTATGTTGGGAACCCGCGCCAGCAGCTTCGGGCTCATGGAGGTCTGGTGGACGGTCTTCGTGCATGGTTGTGGACCGTGACTGGCTGCACTGGTGCTAGGTTCAGTCTCCCAGGTACTGAGCGGCAGTTGAACCTCACTTTCTTGAGCTGCAAGTGGTTGCTAGCAGCTAATAAGACTGTCCCTGTGAAGCCTATCGAAGAGTTGATTGATTCTCATGTGATCCGAGACGGTGCTCGGTCACAGAGGGCTCAGGGCAAGACCCGCCGACTTGATGCAGAAGGTCACAGGGCCTTTAGTTCTGCTGGAGAGGCCTCAGGCGGAGACCCTGAAGACTACGAGGCAGATTTGGAGCAAGGTTAGTCACCTATCTTTCTTTTTCTCTGTATTTCCAAATTGTTATTCCTGACCACTATTCGATATTTCAGGGACAGCGACCAATAGTGACGACGAATTCCGTCCTTTTACC